GTTAAGAATGCCACACATTGTCAATAAAGTGATGTAATATAAAAATGATAAAATCCTGACAAAAAAGCAGATAAATTGGAAGCTTCATTTTGCAGTAGTTAATTATATTGCTTGTCTCACTTAATAGGTCACTGACATGCCAGAATCATCTTCTTTGTTGTAATTAACGTTTGTTTGTATTATTGTCACAAAATAAAAAACGAATAAATATTTGGCTTAAAAATTAGTTGTCTGTGTCCATTATTATTAGACAGATAATTTCCGAAATTACTGGACGGATTGTTGGCGCTTTCTAGATGTATGTTAAGTATATTTGTCTGATCATCCCCATCAACAATTTGATGATGTCACTTCAAAATTTTGCATGGTAAATGTTATTTGATTTTTGTAAAATTACGTACTTTTGTATTTGTTGTTTATGAATCCACCTCAAGTGTTTACCATTGGTATCAAGATTCTCTTTTGTTGAAATTGAAAAGTCGTTGAATACCCTTGTTTCACTCACAAACGACAATGTAATCTTGAAAAAGACAGATTTTTGGTAAAAACCAAGACAACTAATAGAACTACCGAAAAGACACTTACAAACAACCAAAACAATAAAGAAGTTCGGTTATATCGATACAGGTTACACCAAAAATATACAAAAGTACATGTCAGTACGTATTCATAATTCAAGATTGCTAAAGAATACATGCATATGTAGCGAATAATCGATTAGAATACTGAAATATACACTTGATTAATAAAAAGAAAATGTTACATTACACATGAAATACAAAAAAAAAGGTCGAAGGTTATTTCGACAGAACTTTCCTCGCCTTTTAAGTAATGTCGTCCAAATTTCGGTTCTTCAAAAAAATTGTAAAATTTGTTTTTGCTATTTGCGTTTTGTGATAATCTCTATAAAGTAGAAAACAGTGGCATAAATAGCATCTCAGTTCCTGCGCCACAGGGGCGCAAATTCCAAGGGACCGCTGTCCGCATGAATGTGGATTTAACTTCGACTGTTTATGTTTATATTTCGCAAGAATTCGACTATTAACACGTTCAATTTTCAAAAGCATCAGCAGTTAAAAACAAATGAGATTTGATTGATTTGTCTCTTTAATTTCAAAATTAAATTGTAAAATACAATTTTGAAAGAAATCTGGAAGTCTAAGGTAAAAACTCGACAGGGATTAATAAATCACACATGGAGGAAAAATTATAAAATGACGGGGGGCATAAAGGAAGAAAATTTGATCCACGATTTACTATAGTTATGGGTAATCTCAAAACGTTTGGACGATTTCAAAGCATTCGGTTTTTGAATTTCAAAGTTGAATTAAATAAAATAAACTATTGTTATACAATTTTGATTTTTTTTTTTTTTCAAAAAACTGGATCTCTAGGGTAAAACTCAACACGGATTCATAAACCAGAAGTGCAGGAATATCTTATTTTATAAAATTAATAAATGCAAATTTTGGAGATGACGTCATCGTATTGTTGGCCAAGTTTTGATTAACATTTTAGATATTCGTAATACAAAAAAAAAATTGGCAACAATCGGTCTAATAGTTTTGGGGTTAGCCAGATAGACAGACCGACGGAAACGGGAGATCTACTTTTTCGCAAGGTGTCATAAAGCGTCGAAAAGAAAATTTTCCGAATAAATTCTACCGTAAAATCTATATGTACTTGTAACTTATCATTGCATTCAGATTTTTTAGATTTGCGAATACAGGTGACTCAAAAAAAATTAATGAATTAGCCAGTTTATTTTATTGATTAAATCAGAAATGACCCGCTCCATTTTCCCGGAAAATTTTGAGAATATAATACTGTTGTGTATCAATTTCCATTTTACACTAAATAAAATAAGTCAGTGAATGGAGAAAGGAGGTGGACGGGGCTAAATTTAGCTTTTTCTAGTTTATGAGCAAGCAGTAGCCCCGCGCACCCACCCAGTCTTCGTCCTAGTGACTACTGTTAATATTGTTCAGTCCTATCTTAGCAAGTTTTAGCCCCGCCCACCCACCTTTTTTTTTCTTAGAGTATATGTCATTTACCAATATCAATCTTATATATTTTTTTTATGAATAGATTAAAAAAGTACAGATTAGTAAGAAGAGAATCAGAGGACCAAAATCGTTTAAAAAGTACCAAATTTCGTCCTAACGGAACAACTTAAACATAACTGTTGAACGGATGGAGGCACAGTGCTTATGATGCACGTTTATTTCAACGAATTCCATAATAAATATGAAAGAAGTGGAAAATAATATCAATTTGTACATTCGAGATCACAAGGAATACGTAAGAATACGTCAAGAATATGCTTGAATACGTCAAAACTACGCGTGAATACGAAAAAATTCACTAAAAATACATGACTACACATGAAAGATTATGAGGAATTCCAACCGTCATGAGTAATTAGAGCAGAAATTTAAAAAATCACGCGACTTATAGTAATATAAGAGAAGATTTTCTCATGCGACACTTTTTTCTTACACTGTGACTTGTATTTTCTATATTCTTTAACTTATAGAAGTTGGCAAAATAAAATTCTATAATTTTTCGAAGAAGCTGGGTTTGTTGAATTGTACTGATTACTTGTGGTCCAATTTATAATGTTGAAAATGAGTCAGTTTTTGAGAAATTTTATATATTGTATATTTTACTTATTTCTCATCGAAAAATAATTATGGTTTCCGATAATTACTTTTACGTTTTCTGTGGTTGTTTTTAAGGCTGAAGTTACATTGCGTACATAAATCATTTGGACGTGCATCAGATAAAAATAATTTGAACACTGTTATAATCATGAATAAGCCGAGGATAACCTATAAATAACATTCGGAAGAATAACTCAATATTCATTTACAATTACTGCTAAAAAAATTGTTGTAATAGCTCAAATCTCTCTGCAAATACACGCTAATATGGAATAATCCAAACCATTAAAAAAGTATGAACGGTTGCGTAGTGACGTCATCAAAATGTAGGATAGCTATTACGTCAACAATAACAACTGAAAATGGTAAAATTACTGCAAACGAAATAATAATGAAATAGAACAAAATTACTGAAAGAAAGACTCATTTACTTGAAAAAAATGACAAGTGCATCAGTAACAGAGTTAAAAATGTGATTACAAGCTTAAAACTGTCTGTTTACGCGGAAACCGTTTAGAATTATTTTCATCGCGGATTTGCAAAGAGTGGCGTGGCATAAGAATAAAAAAAAACTTTACTGGCCAGTTACTTATCGTTTTCACATTGTTCATTTATACTTGAAATAAAAAATGAGACTAGCTTGCCATCAATACCTCTCACCAATTTTTAAATAACCCAATTTTCATTTATTGACTAATAATATGTATATGAAGGCAAAATTGATGCGTGGTAATATTTCTAGGTCTGATAATTGATTCATTTTGAGTGGTAAACATTCTGATGTTGACAAATTGACTTCAAAAAGTGACGGTTTCAATTACCAAACCACCTAGTGAATATTTTGGTATTAATCCTTGATAAGTTATGACATTAATGATTAATTTAGCAAAATCATGCATTATTAACATTGGCAGCTGACATTTAAGTTACATTTTACGATGGCGTAAATTCATAGTTGCCTGTTAATTATTATTGGTTACTTAATATTAGCTCTAAAATCGTTTTCAATGTATTAATATTACATAAAACTGTATATTTGTTGTCCATTTGACACAATAAAACACAGATTTATTTATATTACACTTATTAATTGATTAAAACAACGATTAGATTGTCATAATTTTACCTAGGTTTTGGTGCTGCGGGAAAAAAAAGAAGAAAAATGTTGTTGGTACAAGCGTCAGGACGAAACTTTTTTTTATTCTTCTGCTGTAATTAGAATTATCACCAAGGACAAGCTCCCTTTTTTTTGGATACGATCGTATAAACAACAAATGGGAATTTTATACTCTAAGCTGAAAAATAACGTTTTCTGGCAACTTACCATATAGGGGAATATTTAAATATATCAGTAATGTATTGGCAAGGATTCAGTTATGTTATTTCAGATATTCATATTACTCAATGTGTAAACCCTGCATTTTTTAAACTCAAAAAAATGTTACCAGTCGGTGGAATTAAAAGACTGTAATGCTCGAATTTAGTTCCTTTGCTTTACGTATCCACGACTGCGGGACCATCTGAAGAATCCAGATTTAGTGAGGAATATCAACCAATTTTTAACATTTTCTAAAACTTCGAAATTCGATCGGCCAGTTTAGAGTCATACATTGTGTAACATTGAACATAGTTTTAGTAATTTTGATTCAAATTTTGCCACTGGGAACGAGCGCCAGTCGTTTATAAATTTTAACAAAGTTCCCCTAAACGTGTTCATTTTGATGTTATTTACCAGCCGCCGCCATTTAGCGCTAATATACCAAATGAAAAAGCACTTTTATGCCCTTTTTAATTCCGCTCTGTCGTGTTATTCTATGTTGTCTCCAAGGGAGACGCGCATTTTGTTTACAACTTATGTAATCGTGCTTTAATTGCACGATCTGATCGGCGAACAAACGACCCTATTATCCTGGTTCTTATAAGCAATATCGTCTCCGTTTATGTCGAAAGAATTCTTCTAATATAGCTATTAAGATATAAATTGTCCGAACGTGTCCTATCGATCACGTTCAATTAACGACGTTATGCCAACATTAAATCGCCATTTTATTGACGCTAGTTGGGGGGGCTGAAGCCTTGGGTGGTCCCTACAACCCTAATCCGTCACGATCTTATATACAAGAAATCCATACAAATACGGAAATATATGTACACAAGACGGATTTCTATATTTATGAGATGCGAATCTTTAAAGCCAACGTATTTAAATTGAAAGAAGAAGAATAACAGGGAAGCGCGTTTGTGTAAACTAAACATTTACCCGATTTTGTTTATGGTTGAGTGTGACGTGGTTGGTTTAGTGATGACGGGTTTTAAAGGATTTTCTCTTTATTGCAGGATGACAGGTTTAACCACGATATCGATACTCTGACGGGGTATAGAACGAAGACTTTGCTGTGCATGCCCATCAAGGATACCAATGGGGACGTCATCGGGGTGGCTCAAGTAAGTAGGCAGAATAGGGGGATTAATGACCATTGTAAATGTTCTACCTGGCACCAGTACAATATCATTTAGGTTATGTTGATCTTACTGTACCATTTTGTTGTCAAGGGCCACAATATCACCAGTGTCGTTGTTTCTGAGCGCTTTTGTACATATGTGTTGTTCCGACATTCATATATTCATATTTTGCTATAAAAGTTGAACGACATATTGATCAATTTTATTATTTATCGGCTTTATCTCTGAAAGTCTGTAACTCATGTCGGTGTTTATAGCTACATAATGCGTCAAAAGGCGTTTTAGAGCGTCGAGCTAATCCAGTTTAACACGTCTGCTCAAATTGCATGACATATTGCTGTGACAATAGAAACACTGCAAATAATTTAATTAAAAATAAAATTCGCTGGGGATTTGAAGGTAGGGCTTGAGGCTTTTAATTAAAACACTGTTACAAAAATTAGATCCAGTGGGACATGTTGTTTGTCAGTTAATTACGGTGCGGTGGTCTTCTTTCATTATAAAAATTACAATTAAGTGTCACCTTTTTGTTTAATTTTGTACTAACAGAGAATGTATAATAGCCGGCGTAAATTTTTGCAAATCATTTTAGTCTTTTATGTAATGTTAGATGTCTACCAGTCTAGATAAATTTAGAAGTATGCATTCTTCAGTGGTGAGTCCAGCTGATGGTCTGGATTACTTGTAACTTCAGGAATGCGAATGGAGGGGGAAATATTTACATAATTGCTAATAATATGGGCACATCCAAGGTTCAAAGTTAAAAATTTATCGGATTATGCTATTGTTTCATCTTATTCATCAAAGAGAAATTTCAACTCGAGTATCAGTTGGCGTTTTCGGGTTTCTTTTGAAAAGTAATTTGAGCCAGCTGACGTAAAATGCCTACACTGGTACAGAAATCTTTAAACTTTCCGTTGTTATTGGGGGACAGCCAATTTATGACACAAACTTAGCAATGAGAGATCCCGGTGAAAGATCTTGAAATTTGTCTAGTCGCGACAATAATGATATGTTGATAGATATTGTGTTTAAACCTGTTATCAGTTTAAAGTCAGTAAATTATAGAAAAGCGTTGAAAAAAAAATAAAAATTTCGCTATGTAACACTTAATTTTCAGCAGTGAAAAGTGAGTTTTTTGTTACCGTAGTTGACCAAAATTTCAATTCTGTGTTGTATTAGCATATTCATATTATTACTCGTTTATTTTTACTTTGTTTTGTCAAAACTTGTTACAATTATTGTAACGTGTGTTTCGTTTTGTTTTCTTTTTTATAAAACAGTAAAAATTAAAAAACCAGATATTAATACATCCAACTAACAACTGTATTATGAGTCTGAAGTAGAAGCGTTTTCACATTACGATATTCCCAGACACTCTTACGACTTTTATCTTTTCAGTTTGTTTTTTACTGTCCAATGGAAAATACTTTTAACAATCATAAGAAGATTACATTTTTGATGTTTGAACGTAAAAATGCTAGAAGACAAAGCAACAATGCCGTAAAACGCAAATAATGAGGGTGTTTTATTACTTTTGTGCACATCTAAAACTACCTTTGCTAGTTCTAATGGTCCACTTACCCACGACGTTGTATTTTGTAATTCAAAACTTCATTGCTTGGTGAAGTAATATTTTAAATTGCTTATTAGTGTCAAGTTTACGTCATATAAATATGAATAACCTAATTGCGATAAAAAAGTTTAATATATATTTACGTAAGTTCATAATTCTTCTAAGTGATCATGTTTTGTCGCCTTGTTTCAATATTTTCGCTCCAAAATTTGCAAGGCGACGTTAATGACGACATTGTAAATGTCAATTTTGATGCAATTAGTGTTTTTAATTTTTTTTTAATTACCTACCTGAATGTATAGTTTTTTTAATGTTAAAGAGAAAAAAAAAGATAAATGTCTATTAGAAAATACTAAATACTAGAGGTTGGTCATATTTTACTTATATTTATTTGTGGCAAAATTCCGATAGATTCATGAAATATTTCTTAATGCCTTTCATGAATCACAACTTTCGCAAAATATGGGCTATAAATTTGGTGTTAACTTTTCTGTTTGCCATGATTTAGGAACAAGTACAGGGAATTTCTAATAAGATATTTTTCGACAAAAGTTGTCTTCACTTCCGCCTAAGCCACAACGCCGTGATCAATTTTATAGCGGTCCTAAATAAACTTTTGTGCTATTGTATAACTTAGTTACTGTACAGAGATAACTTCGAAATTAATTTCATCTTCAAGGTGCAAACTCCTTGTAAAATGACATTTGTTACACAGTAATAGGTATGTGAAAATACACAAATATTTTGTTTCACGTAAATAATAATTTATTTTGATCGTCGCAATCCCCTTCAGACCTAATTTAACATTGGCAGAGTACACATCAACGACGCAATAAATACACTTTTTTCACCTTGACGTCTTCGTGGGCGACGGCGCGTCAGTTTGGCCGAACGTCAATTGTTTTGGAAAGACGGCATCCTCACGTGCTTTATTCTTATCTTCTTTCTATTTAAAAAAAAAAAAATCGGAAAAGTCTAAGGTTGGCGTTATCCGTCAAGGTTTAGGGGTTGGTACTACTGCAGAACTAACACACGACAACATTCTGTCAACTACCTGTCATTTGTCAGTGTTAAAAATTAAGCACGTGAAGCCAACTTGCATGTGTTCATATTATGTCAACAACCAATGACAAAACTTTATTGATTAAAGTTTATGTTGACATTAGACATTTTTTTACTTAAAATTTACAGTTCTGTAAATTCTATTCCAATTTAACCGATCACATAATTTCAATAATTGATAGTTAACTGTAAATGTAACACTGTCCAGAAGCGTGTTACATTGTTCTAAAAACTGAAAATGTTTAGAGTCTGATGTCACACATTACTTTTGTAATTGAAGTAAAATGGGGTTTTCTAAAATTTTGATCATAGTGGTTTCTATATGATAGATAAAAATCTCAGTATCAATTTTTTCGAAAAGGATTGTAATGTGCTATTCAAAAGTGTAAAAATAAATATATTATGCTAAAAATATTTCTTAATATTTTGTATGAAATTAGGTTTATTCTATATACATATTTGTATCAATCTATCAATTGAATAAAATGTTGCGAACAAATCAGTCCAAATTATAGTTAAAAGTTAACTACTATATTCTATGGTACCATCTTAATTAACACCGTAATAACTACACATGTACATATTTTAGCATAATGTTCTTATATCGTCCAACATAGGAAAAAATCAAGGAACTATGTCTACGTCTGCTGCATTATTGCATTGATCTGGTAAAGCGCAGATATCTCGACAACTTCAGCTAAATAACCAGAAACAAGGATCCAAAGGTGTTCAACACCATTCACAAGTTTGAAATGCTATAATTCAAGCAATCAAAATTTTCAAACTTAGCAACACAAAAACATTATTATCAAAATAGAAAAGCGCCTCCTCAGTTGGACGATTTACCCTCAACTTATTTGTTGACTTTAAAAAAGTTAACATTTTTATTTTTATTGCTCTGAAATTTTACGTAACAAAACATTGTAATTCAGAGGATTAGTTTGGAAACTGATTCTAGTTCGTTTGAAGCCAACCATTATTCTTGTTTTTCTTGGAACAACAATTTGAAACTGTTCAATGAGGATATAGAAAAAGTTATGTGTGTAACAAATGGGAAAATAGTCATTGTAACATATGCACGCCATTATGTTGCAAGTACATACCATATGATCCAAAAAACAACTCCCCTAGTAAGCTATGCATTTTTTTTAAATAATAAGGTTGGCAACATCACGCGTTCGTTGTTCAAATAGCCGCAATGCCAGTATCATTATTTTAAAAATAAATTGCACTGTCTGCTGAGAGTTTTTTTTTACGATCATATGGTATAACAAGGATTATTTTTCTACCTATGAACACAAGTGCTTAACCCTGAAGAGAATTTTTAGAATTCATCTTCCGTTTTTAAAATATCATTATTTAGTTTGACAGATCCCACCTGTCAGATCGTCTGGCACTTCTCCCACTGCAGTAATATTTATCTGTCATTTATCTCACCAGCTAGGAAATGCGTTATTTTCCCCATAAAACTAATGTAAAACCTGATGGATTAACGAAAAAAGGCAATTAGATAATCCGTTTTAGAGATACAGATTAAAGATCAAAGAAATTTGAAGCATTCCATAATATTTATTCAAATTAGGCTAAAATCATAGTTGTGTACTATAAAACTAGCCAACGGTGGCAATCTTGATAAATGCCATATTATTTGATTTTTTTTATTTATCAATATAGCTGGTTAAGTTAAATTGGGTATCTAAATAAAAACCTGGTCCGTTGTTTTTGCCGTATGTCGTTTTCGAAATAAATTTTGAAAACTGTCAACCGCTTGTCACATAGACTTTTGTGAATTATTTATAACCTTTAAACTGAGTTTGACATGGAAATGACAGCTCTCTCGAACACGATGACAAACATTACGACATACGGAAAAAATAATAAAATATAAGGTGTTTAAAATGAGCTGCCGGATTTCCTTCCTGATACTCCCAAATGATTCTTTCTATTAATTTTTTCAAAATTCTGATCTAGTTATGTCAGCCACTGACTTAAGGTACCCGAAAAAAAAGATGGTGCAAGATCTGGTGACCGAGCTGGCCATTCCACAGAACCTCTTCTGATTATGTCGGAAATTAATTATTTAAAAAACTTACAATTAACTCCTCATTTACATATCAAAAAAAAATATGAATACTCAAGTAATGAATTTGACATTAGTCAACATCAGTAATGAAAATGATATTGTAAAACGTGGTACATAATTTTTAGATTTATAATTATTGTCTAGCAGCATCCATATTTTTATATTTCTTGTATTTTAAGGATCCCTAATTACAGTTTTTCCCTAATAACTTCAAACTGGAGCAAATTATGTGCCTCAGAAAATATATGGAAACAGAGTTCAATTTTCGTCGTCATTCTGAAAATGCAAAAAAAACCGGAAACGTAGTGATATTGAATTAGAACAAAAATTATCGGTATACTTTGAGATGCATTTAACTTTGACATTTGACCCAAGTGTGGCCAAGAAATTGACCTCAACTTAAAAATTCCTCGGCTGGATTATTATACTCCGCAATACGCTGACGAAAAACGACAGAATCAAACTTAAGACAACATACAAGATTTTCAGTAAAAAATTCTTAATTTTGCTGACCCGACCGTACCTTACCCTACCTGTCAGTAACATACAATTTACCATAGACCGGAACTGGGACATTAGACTAATTGCTGTTTATCATTCTAGGTGATTAACAAGGTAGGCGACCAACCCTTCACCAAGCTCGACGAAGAAGTCTTCGCCAGCTACCTCCAGTTCTGCGGCATCGGTCTCCGCAACGCGCACCTCTACGAGAAATCTCAGTTGGAGGTGAAACGCAACCAGGTGCTGTTGGACCTGGCCCGCATGATCTTCGAAGAGCAGAGCACGATAGAGCATGTAGTATTCAGGATACTAACCCACACGCAGAGCCTGATTCAGTGCCAACGGGTGCAGGTGAGCGAGAAGGGTTAATTATTTTAGACAAACAGAGGGCCCGTGATGTATGGTCGGGGGCATAATTGCATTATCTCGCGATGCTGCCGCCGCGTGTACAAACATAATATCTCCCCGGAGAACCGCTATCAATTACGTCACCGCCACTCTAACGACGATTAATCGACAGCAGTCACTACAAGAAAGGGTGGGTCTGTTTAGAGGCACATTAGTTGAATTATTAAGGGCTACATTTAAATGGGGCGGAAGGGAGGACGAGATGACGGAATTGTGGGTTTTGTTGATTAAGTCGTCTCTAAAACATTGCAGGATTAATGCAAGTGAGTCTTGTGGGATATTTGGTTTGTTGTTTTTACTGATGAAGAAGTGTGGGGGTTTTTGCTGGGAAGGGTATTAAACAGTGCTGCTGGTCTGTCTTTAAATATTTGTATGGGGATCGTATTTCACTGACCGAAAAAACAAAAACAAATAGTCCTCCTGACAGGGGACGACTTGCAAGGAGAAAAATATATCGTTGGGTGCAAATTTTTTCTTTTAGGGCGGCGGCCGAGGAAAATTTACTTCATAAGATTATTGCGTCGTTCACACTTGTAAAATACTGTTGGTAATTTTATTGCAAAGATAGTCTCTGAATCCACCGACCCGATTGTTAACTGGAAAAATAATATCTCAAACTTAATATACCTCGCTCCATAAGAGCAATCTCATCCATTCGAGGGTTGACCGACCAGAAAAAATAGCATCGGTTTAGGGCTGTTGCCTTTGCATTAATTACGAAACCAATTTGTTTGCAATGTAAATAAACGGATCCTTTTTCCGGTCGACTTGACGCCAGTTCAGTGATTGATGCTAGTCGTTTGTCTTAGGTCCTCCTGGTCCATCAAGGTTCGAAAATCAGCTTCTCTCGAGTGTTTGATTTCGAGGCCGCTGATCTGAATGGGGAAGAAGGCGAATCTAGGACAAGCCCCTTCGAAAGTCGCTTCCCCATCAACGTGGGAATCACAGGATACGTGGCCACCACAGGCGAGGTACGCAACTTTCGTTATCTTATTTTCTACTGCAAACAAAGAATAATATAGGCTGAGTAGGATATACACTTTAAAATAGAAAAGTGTTAACTTCAAGAGCCAACCATGTTCTTGGTCCCTAGTTTATTCTTACGATTCGGTTGGGAAATACCCAATATGTATTGCGTGCTCGATGTTCTTTTGTTATTTAAATGGAAAACCGAATGATATGTATTGATTGTGGACAAATTAAGTTTTGAGGTAAAAATTTCATTTCTGGGTAGATATATAAATTTAAAACAAATTCAAGTTTTATGGTTCTTTTCATCTAAAATACAGCATTCGTATATACTTACCCTCATTTCACAAACAAATGCCAAAATATGGCAGATTTTGAGATATTTTAAAAATTCAAATTTGAACCTAGTTATTTTGGAAAGTAGCCATCGTACGAACTTCTATTTTTTTCCCTCAATAAACACGGGATTTCTGCTAAATACCGAATTTTTTTATAATTATTGTTTTGGCAGTTTTTTTTGGAGTCGTGCTGAATGTGTTCTTTCGGAAAAATACCATTATTAATGGTTAAAAAATTTCATTTGTACCCATAATCATGGTCCGACAGTACTAATAAGCTATATTTTTCTAAATTAATTTGTCTAGATCTAAACCTCAGAACTTCCGGTGATTTTATAGTGACATTGAAAAAAAATCTCTTTTTTTTTGTCATTTAATAAAACTTGAGAATTTTTACTTTCTCTTGAAAATCTTCAAAAAAATACAAAAAAAATCTCCGCGGACAAGTTCAAGTTCCTAAAATTTTCTAACACGTCCGCTTGTATTATATTTCCCGTCAGTTCACAAAAACTGCCAAAATATGGTAAATTTTGCGATATTTTATAAATTCTAATTTGAACCTTTCGGAAAGTAGCCATCGTACGAACTTCTAATTATTTTCTCAATAAACACGGGATTTCTGCTTAACACTGTATTTCTTCATTATTTTTGTCTTACCGGTTTTTGTGGAGTCCTCCTGAATGTATTCTTTTGGGAAAATACCATTATTTCATTTGAACCCATAATCTTGGTCCGAGAATTTCAGAATTTTCGGCCATTTTCCAAGCTCCTTGAAAAAAAAAAGAATTTTTAAATATTTAATAAGTAAAATTCGAAAATTTTGACTTTCCCTTGAAAATCCTCGAATTTGTGTGCAGGATTTTAGCTGGAAGTGCCTGAATGCGTCAAAAATATATATTTCTCATGCGATTCACTAAACGATTTTCTCAAAATGAAATTTGACGAAATGATTATAGTAGGACTAGAAATTATCAGTAATGAAAATTTTCTTATAATATAATAACTTCCAAGACAACTGCTTCTGAGCATAGCCTTAGGTACCTTTAGGTACCTTTTAGGTAGTGATGATAGTGAAAAAAAACTTGGCAAATCAGTAGACGCTTGAGGCAGAATCCGCACAATATTTCTGGACATGGTTTAATAACCTAAAAAATGTATTTTATGATTTAAAAACGGGAATTTTTTTAATCTTTAGAAATGAATATGCGATTGACATCGTCTATTGAGATTTTGATAAAGCTTTTGGTTAAGTTCCTCATTATCGTCTTAATATGTAAACTGGAGGTCAGTGGAATTCATGATCTCTTGTTACGTTCCCCAGTGGTCGTAGTTTTAAGATAAAAGTAAGTTCAGTTTTCTCAACCAAGAGAGGGGTATTGTCTGGTGGGACGCAAGGGTCGACGCTAGACCCTATACTATTTCTTGTATATAATATATCGGAGTGAAAGTACTTTATTTGTCAAGCACTTTGCACCAATGACAACCGGTAACTCCTATGTCCTACATATAAATGAACGTGCACATACTTGGTTACTGCTTTTAAATATTCAGAAATAGGCGTAAAAATTACTCAACATTCCTTAAATTCGAGCAATCATGTATTAGAGTCTATTCAGCGGATCAGTTTTTTAGGTAACATACTGTAAAAAAGGCAAATGTCATGAGTTTTTTGTTGTCGAATCAACAATAAACAATTAATGACTTGGTCTGTCATTTTCCGGCTCTCGGGAGATAGTTGAGGATACTTTCCTTACCTGTCCGAAGACTTTAATAGGTCGCGGATCTCCCTAAAGCTCGAGAAAGAGAATCCACCACCTCCACGTCTGCAAAAATGAGTGGATTCCCGGTTCCGTTTTCGGTTCCTCTTCCGGTTCTGGCACTTCCGCTTCGAATTCTTCTTGTATTAAGATATCTTCTGTCCATCTTTTGAAGTTCTTCACGTCTTTCTTCGTTATCTTAAAGACCTGGAAGGAAAAAATCCACCTACGTCCAGTTGATGTTTCCGGAAGTTTGCCCTGGATCGTCACCTTGGCACTCCTCCTCTAATCCCGTCAAGAGACGGACACAATCTCTGAAATTACACAATAGGTTAAAGCCACCTATGACGCCTGTCCATGTTCTCGATGATGCCCTCCGTGAGACGCCCTTCGGTCCGCTCCACTTGCTACTTCTCCGTTCCTACTTTTCTAGTCCCGCATTTCAACATTCTCCTCCAGGGACATGAAACTCCTGGGATTCGGAGCTGGCGGGCCTAATTTAGGAGCCAACTTGCCGCTTTCCCTATAGCCGTCAAAGACGCTCCAAGGCAGGTTGAGAGAAAAATATCCATATCCGTCCACGCAACCACCTGTTTTCCTCGTACACCTAGCTGCTGTAGAGTCTCTCACCAGCCAGTGGGGTAGAAATAATCGGTATCAAATTCTCACCTCTTTTATAGAAACTGAAAGCTTTGGTTGGCCTCCACCAGAGCTCCCGTGTGTGAAAACAACATGTACTGCTATAAGGTTGGCAACATTGGCTATGTTTTCGCTTCTTTATTCCATAAAATACGGAAGTAGCGCTTACCAGGAGCCACGTCTGTCTCCACGGACTCTCGTTAAAATTATATCACAAAAATTGGTAAAACTAGATGCTGCCTTTCCTGCCGTGGGCCATTTATGTTATTTTCACGTAAACTTAAAGGGTCGGACAGGTTATCCACAGATAATATGTTCATCTTTATTCATAATAAAATTTACTTTTACTCTGAAAGTCCGGTTAGTTCCGTGACGAACAAAACACTGTTGCTTCTGTTGATAAAACAATTGATACTTTCTTCACGTTTTTTTTTTTAATGTAATTTAGACAAAAACTGATACTAACTGAAAACGGCCCAGAGGTTCACACTAATCTCTGATAACCCAGCCTATATTTTTCTACACCTTTGATCTCTACGTGAAATTATCATTGCTTCTTCATTAGACCGTAAACATCGCGGTAGCTGAGGAAGACGAACGTTTCGACCCCAGTGTGGACGACGGCACCTGTTTCAAGCACAAAACCATCCTATGCATGCCCATCAAGAATTCCACCGGACAAATAATCGGTGTCATTCAGTTGATCAACAAGTTCAATGATCTACCGTTTACGAAAAACGATGAGAATTTTGTTGAAGCTTTCGCTATCTTCTGCGGGATGGGAATCCACAATACACACATGTATGAAAAAGCTGTGGTTGCTATAGCGAAGCAAAGCGTTACGTTGGAGGTGTTGTCGTACCATGCTACGGCCACTATGGACGATGCGCAAAGGTTAAGGGTAAGTAATCCACGATTTGGGAAGTACGTGACCTGAATCAGTTTTGGGTGATGTAAGGTACCGCATGGACTTTTTCTAGATCAAACAAAACTGATTTTGGCTGCGCTTTCCCATCTTTCTATGAGTGTTATTGAAGCAGACGTGAAGTTAACAGATAGCTGTTACAGAGTTTACGGGTACCATCGGCGGCTCATTTCCGGCTGCACGATTTAGATTTCGATGACATCAACATGAACGATGACGAAACTCTCACTGTGAGTACAATAAAACTTCGGCACTCAAGGTTTTACGAGAATTTTTTCGCAGGCCTGTGTTAGAATGTTCCTCGATTTGGATCTAGTCGAACGTTTCCATATGGATTACGAAGTCTTGTGTAGGTGGTTGTTGTCAGTGAAGAAGAATTACAGGAATGTCACTTATCATAACTGGCGACATGCCTTTAATGTCGCACAGATGATGTTCTCGATATTGACGGTGAGTACTTACGATTATTTAGATTTCTAGATAGGGAGTTTTTTTTTAATTTTAATTTTAACGAATCATCGTTTATCTTGCAGAGGAGTTGTTGATTACTGTTTATTTTGAAGTTTACAATGACATTTTTTCTATATCGAGCCGTGCACAAATCGATACTTTAAATTGATGTTATCGTTTTGCGTTGGCGGTAACGCGAGAAGTTTTATCAGATGACTTGTACCCAAACAAGTGATTAAAAGTGTTTATTGCGAAATGCATGAAATGTTCGTATATACCCTGACTTTAAAACGTGTGTCATTATTAAAATGACACACATACAATAAATTGCTAATAATAATAATCATTGCAGCAAATGAAAGCTTTTAGCATTTGTGGTTAAATCCGCAATTTTAAGCGGTGTCCCATTATGAATTAGGTACAACAACATTGTGGCTGATTATACGTAAAAACACTTAAAAAAAACGGGAAAAACATAATAATAAGTTTAATGCATAGCCAACCCAGCTAAAACCGGAAAACAAAATCATTCTACGCATTCGAGTCCATTATTTTCCACGTTTGTTTGTCCACTACCCAAGTATTTGTACACAGCTTTCGACTGTTTTCACGATAAACACTCCTAGAGCTTCGTGTTTATCCTCCGCCACGAACTGACGGATGTGTATAACGTTCACACCCAAACTTGTGTTTAACTTAACGCTGTCCTTCGTCACAGGCGACGCAATGGTGGAACGTCTTCGGCGAGATCGAATGTCTGGCGTTAATGATCGCCTGCCTATGTCACGATCTGGACCATCGCGGAACCAACAACTCGTTTCAAATCAAGGCGTCTTCTCCCCTGGCACAGCTGTACTCGACCTCCACAATGGAACATCACCATTTCGATCAGTGCATAATGATCCTCAACTCCCCTGGCAACCAGTTATTGTCGAATATTTCGTCCGAAGAGTATTCCAGGGTGATCAGGGTGCTCGAAGAGGCGATTCTGTCGACCGATTTGGCGGTGTACTTCAGGAAAAGGGGGGCGTTTTTCAGCGTGATCAGGGACAGGCCGTGCTGGAGTCTGGACGAGCATCGAGAACTGTTGAGAGCGATGTTGATGACAGTTTGTGATTTAGCGGCCATCACGAAACCGTGGGAGGTCGAGAAGAGGGTGGCAGAGTTGGTCTCGTCGGAATTCTTTGAACAGGGTGATATAGAAAGGGAGGAACTCAATATAACTCCTATCGTAAGTACTAAAATTAACATTACATGGAAATAGATAGGGCGCTGTGTAACTGCTGTTTAAAGTTTATTGGCCGTTCGGGATAGTAACGCTGTCGTTAACAGATGCCACGTGAAATTGATTAAAATTTTTATTCGTTCGTCAATAGTACAAATTAATAAAAATTGGCCGTTCAAATGAAAATGTTACATTAGATGAATAGGTCCGTTATAAAAAATATGTTATATAAATACAAAATTAAAACCACCATCCACCAGGATTTGCCTTTTCATAGCATTATTAACGTTGTTGTATCGAAACTCATTCCGTAATTACTAATTACCTGTTTATGTGCATTTTAATACATTATTATCGCATTGATGCTGGTACATTCGCTCATTTTGCACTGTGATTACCACTATATTTCCCAAAACGGGCTCTTCAGCGTTATAAATTCTATACACATCACTCTATCCTCTTTTAAAACGTATTTTCAAACTAATAATCAAACAATTATTTTCCAAGAGTAAACACCTATCGTTAATGAAATTATTTAACATTACTGAACATATTTAGCATACGCTAAGGTGTGCATATTTTATTATATTTGCAAAATGCATCCAATTTGTTTTTTCCCACCGCTGCAATTACAAGATGATGCAACATTCCACGTAATTATTTGTCATTTTCACATGTGTTAACACTACAGCATCAGCATAAAAACAACGTGGCCGAAATAAGAGTGCCGACTTTGGTAATCTTGAATTCACCATAAATTATGTTCACGAAAAATGATACCCCGAACTGACCTTTAGCACTACCCAAGTCATTATGAAACCGTTCTTTAGCTTTTTTATTTTTATTACTGTAGTTTGAACATTATGAAGATTTGTGTCCAATGCTGAGAGATTTAGAAATGTGATTATAGGTGATGTGTTTGAACAGACAGGAGATATAAACACGTTATAAAAATTCTTCAGAATGATACCTGTTTATGTGTTGAATAGCGAAAACAGCATAAAGCAAAAGTTTGGAAGAACTTCGTTTTGTCCTAGTTTTATTTTTGTCTGCTAATATATCGAAAGTTGCTTATTTGGCACGTCGTAACTTTTGAGAAGAACCGGATAAAGTTCGCTGAATATTTTATTTGATAAGTAATCAGCTTTTTAAATATGTCGGGGACTAATGTATTATTTTGTGCATGTCACCTGTCAGTCACATGAACGACACATAACTTATTGCAACTCTGTATCAGTTTTTTTTTGCAACGATAACATTGTAATGCATTTTTGCCTTATCACAGCAATCATCATTTTCTTGTTTTTTCAAGGCATTAATTATAGAATTTTTAAATTTGTCATTGTGTCTAGTACTTTGATACAGATATTTTTTTTACCCTATTTTTTACCTCAGATTTTCCATCTTCGAACTCCTATTTCACGGCATCTGTGAATTGAAAGTTTCTTCAACTTTCCAGACGCATAGTCCTGTTTCAGTTTTTATTAAAGTAGTTTCCATCACTGGTTTTCACGTCTCACAAGTCTTTTTATTCAAAAGTTCCCAATGTCTTAGAAACTTATATACTACAAGGGGCTATAAAAAAAAACGTACATGCAGTTGGCTTTGAAATTTCATTAATTTTGCCGCTTCATTGTGATGGTTGATGACTATTGGTCGCCTGTCATAAATGTCAATCATAACCTCACTTTGAACTTTTTCTCTAGAAATAAATAGATTGAATAAAACTGAAGCCTAATGATTTAACACAATCTTTATCTATTTTATTTTTATATGCAAAACCAGCTTGATGCACGAATTTTTATAATCATCTTGTATAAAAATAAATGTCTTGCATCAGATTTGAATACAACTGTAACATTAAACAAGGATAGTGTTGGTGTTGCCAACATTTTATTATTTGGAAAATAAGTTTCAAGACCTACTAGGAGCATTTAATTTCTTTCGTTGACTCAATACTAATAGTCTTACATAAAATAAAATTTAAATTGAATGCATGTTTATGAATAAACTTGGCTTGTGAGTTATTATTATTATTAATAATTAGTGTATTTATTAGCATTTATTAGCACATTGATTGGAAAAATACGGCTGTTTAATACTTGCACTTATTCATAATATTTTTTAAAACTTTTTTCCACATCTTAAGCGTTGTTTCATGCCCACATCGTTATTGATAGAATTTTTGCGAAAACGGATTCTAATATTCTTTCACCTTAAATTATGATTTTGGAAAATTAAAAACTACTAATAAACAGCATTAGATACCACAAAATTGTCCAGAAATTTATAGTGTAGTAGAGTCAAAATACTTTGAGAAGAACACGGCAATAGCAAGACAATAACATTTATTTTTTTTATATCATTTTATTTCTTTAAAATAAGTCTTGTAGATGAACGCTGAAGACACCAAAATTAGTGTAATCACAGACTTAAATGAATTTTTTGAAAAACTATTACGTGATGAAAAAGTGAACAGAGATAACCAATACGTTGAAAAATACGACTAATTGTATTGATCTTAAACTAATACTCCGTCACGAATAACCCATAAATATAGACATAGTGAAAAGTTCTATTTTTCCGCTCTTATTAATTAGTTAATGACAAGGGATAAAAATAGCGTTCAGTTCGAAAATAAATATTTGTTGTGTCAGTAACTAATAGAACGGCCGTTTTATTATTAATTCCTGGAACGTGTTGACCTTTGTGTATCGTTGGTGTGCAAAAATAACGTAATTTTTCAATTTCCAGGACATAATGAACAGGGAAAAAGAGGACCAATTACCTTTAATGCAAGTAGGATTCATCGATTCGATTTGTTTACCAATTTATGAGGTGAGTGTTCATGATATGACGTGAAGTGGACGTCACTCAAATGTCATTTGAACAGGCATTCGCAAGACTCTCCCCTCATCTGGAACCGTTGGTGGAGGGCGTGAACAAGAACAGGGTGAAATGGCTAGAGATAGCAGCAGCACAAAGTCTTATTCCTCCTGAAGGCGAACGAGATTCCAACGATAATCTCTCCAAACCTAATACACCAGAATCGAATCCTAACGCGTCCCAAATTACCGACTAGTATATGAAATGTAGTTATTGTAAATAATTCCTGAAGACTATTTATTGTTCTAGTATAATTTTAAAGACTTAAATGACACTGACCACAATTCTAGAGCTGCGGTGTTGAAAAATGTTATTTTTTTAAAGTATTGTCAGACAACATTTCAAAGGCTCTAACTCTTCCCTCCCGTGTATTTCATAGTGGTTATTAATTTATTATGTTTGTTCCCACGAAAATACGAAAATTTGAATTTAATTATTTTTTAATTTATTTGTGAGTATTGTTTGTTTAGGTTTAAGAGAGCTCTCTTTTGTAAGTTTTTAGTTTAGCTATTCGTAGTCACTTCTTGTGATATTTTTAGTGGGCTCTACGAAATCATGTTAGTAGAGGACCGTATTTTAATATGGTATTACATTGTATGAGGAAAACTATTTATGCCAAAGTGTATTTTTTAATCAAATTGTAATAGTTAAGTTGATAAAAGATGCAATTAATTTTTTAGTGTGTTGTCAAACATCTACTTGTTTTATTATCCTTTCGTTGTTGTGTTGCGTCAAATTATTTTCAAATTTTTGAATAAATAAGTGTACATTCAATGTAAAAAATAATTACAATAATAACAAATTAATATAATATATATTTATCAAATATTCATGTGGTTTCCGTATCCCAAGTTTTGACAGTTAATTATGATTTTAGCACAGAACATCAGTTAGTAATTCCACACAAGTTCCAACTAGTTTCACTATTGCAACGATAGCAGAGTATTAGTATTTCAGAAATGTGTAATTATAAACTGTCTGTTGAAAACGGTTGAGAAAGTTTTAGTGCATACCAGTCAGAATTGCATTTGTGGATTGTTAGGTAAAGTCCACTGAAAAAACAACAGTGACGCTTGAAGCAGTTAGTAGTTGAGTTCCGTTAGAGGAATAAATCAGTTACAATAATTCTATCAATGAGACCAAATGCATGTATGCAGAAGTTAGCAGAGTTATATGTCCACATAAGATTTTGTTTAAACATAAATGGGCGAACTCAAAAACAAAATATTTTGTCTGACTGGTGTAACCTCAAAACAATCATTTTTCAAGAATCAGGTCAGGATTATAAGTTGGACACGTGTCTGCAGATATCCCAGTAGTTTGAAACAATGGTAGTTTGTGTTTACAACGAATGTGAAACTATATGGTGTTGTCTGAGCTGTGTGAACTTTGAAACAACTGTCACAACTTTGTTTCTACTGGTCACATTTTTTAAATTTTACTTTAATGATATGTTAACACTGTAACTGAAGTTTGTTTCTTTAAAATACTTACAAAATCTATGTAGGTAAGTATGTAATGAAAGTTTTTTTTTTACTTTTTCTAACTAGGATTCCTTAGATAAAGTTTGAAATAAAATGAAAAACACAAATTCCGTTTAAAATTGTCCAAAATTGGTTTTAAAGTGGCATTTTACAGTGATTCACGGGGTTTGAGAAGTAGGTATTTTTAGTCCAGTATTGACACATACCTACATATAAATATCTTGAAATTTCTAAAACGTTATAAAATATGTACTATGTGCTATAAAAAATGTCAAACCACTCCAAATTATATTGACACACTAACCTTACTTCTTTCTTCCTTTTAATTTGTTTTGCCTAAATAGTATGCGTACAGAACCCTCAAACATGGATACATAAAAAACATGTCAAAAAGAAATACACGACCGACGTAGAAGGGGTCTCTGCTATGCCGTTCGATATTTTTCCGCTGCTTACTCATAATAGCGTTCGCAATCGTATTAAAAACATCAGACTTATTAGAATAAAAAAGGCGCTTGCTAGGCTTGCAGATAAAACATCTAATAAAGCTACGGATACCGTGGCTGGTCCCTCTGGCGGTTCCTAATAAAGATTCGATTTCATTTCTTTTCTTTCTTTTCAAATTCAGTTTTCAAAATAATTCATCTGTTAATTGTTTTGTTGGTAATTTAGTATACATTAATGTAGCTTCCCTGACGGCAAAATATGACGACCTCTCCGTGCTGGTGCAATCTTTGAAACCGACTTTTGTAATGCTGTCAGAGTCGTGGATAAGCCCTGCGATTCCTGATACATTAGTGGCTATGAACGATTACACTCTTTTTCAGAACGACCGGGACGGCAGAAGGAGTGGCGGTGTGTGTATCTTTGTAACGGACTTGATTTGTTCCAGTTTCACAATTAGTATCTTAAGCTCGGACGTCGGCAATAATGAAGCACTATTTCTCAAATTATCGAATAGTAGTATCTCATTTGTGTTAGGATGTATATACAGATTCCCAGACTCTGCAATTCATGATGATAGAAAACTCTTTACGTTCGTGTCAAAAATTGTCATAATTAGGCTTCAGATCTTAGGTTTTTTGCCTTTTTATATCTACTTCAGACATTGCAGCGAAATTTATATATTTATCTACAACTGCTTTATAAAGGCCTTATTACACAACTCATTCGGCACTGTTTGAGTTGAGTAATAAACCCTCTTATTCCACTAGTGGTGTAATAGAAAGATTACACCACTAGTGGTGTAATGAAGGTCTCCACTTCTTAGTTGAATTTTATTAACTACAACAAATTACCTTGATTAATTCTTAACTTATTTGCTATACACGTCGATAATACATTTCTTACAATTACTGATATTAATACCAGATGAAATGAAATTATTTGTATCTTTGTCCATAATGCTTAGGTTTTGTTAACAAAATGTTTGTTACAGCTCCAGTATTTAAGATTTCTCTTCTAACAATGCTTGAATCTCGGTTGTAGCTACTGGCCTTGTTCTGGCTCCAGGGTCACCTCCAAGAATATCAGAAGCGGTCTTTTTCTTGTTTTCAATCGAAATGTCGATATAACCTTCAGTACCTTCACATACAGCCCAAAGGCTGCTGCATTTATAACTTTTCGACAAATCTTCAAAAAATGGCAACAGCACCTTCTGTCTTGCGTCATGATTTATTTTCTTGGATGCACACCAGTCAGTGAACCGTTTTTCGTATTTAGTTTTTGATTTATCAGGGAACAATGAAGACACTAGGTTTGTAGCAGCTTCTTCTGTTTCGAAAGGCAAGCTTTCTGCTTCAGAATCACTCATTTCTCGATTGAACAACATTTTTTTTTTAAAAACTGACGCGTTGTTTACAACAAATTTGAGCGGTTGTCATAACACTGCAAAAATTCTCTTGATTCTTGATTTTTAATTAATAAAAAAACTTAATCGGCTTTTTTTCTTTTTCATTTTTGGGCAGTTGTAGATAAAGTTTTGTATTTCATACGTGGGCTAGAGCATATTACAGCAACTCGTGTGATTACAGATGACTCGGTCTAACGACCTCGTCTTCTGCAATCTTCACACTCGTAGTGCTGTAATAATGGCTCTATCCCACTAATAAGATAAATAACTATTATCCGAATTTGAAAAAATCTGTTTATTTAACGCCCATTTATTACTACCTAAAATACCTAATTTACCGTTAGAGACCTAAAGTGTTAATTAAACGACCTGATTGTAAATTTTAAAAGGCTTAAAATAGGATTCCACGACCAACGAAGCGGACGTGCTTGCACAATAGAGATTTTCCCTGAATTCATTGCTTTGGCTGGCAGATTGTTTAAAAATGGGTTGTAAACAACGCCCTTGAGTTTAATGGTACGGGTGTCGCCAACTGACAACGCTGGCCTGCATTTCATTTAGATTATAGCTGGAAGGAGGTGAATCTCTGAAAAAGCATTTTATTTTAGAAGTTTATTGTTATTGATACTGAGTGTCTTTGCGTGTTAGTGAGTGTGCTGGGACCGGGTTTGATTTTTGTGCATATAGTAAAGAATCCTCAAAATGCCCAAGGTAAAATCATCCATGAAAGATAAAATCAAATTATGGTTAGGGAATAATTTGGACACTAATTTTCAATTTCCTTCTTCAACCAAAGACAACGAGTTATTCTGCAAAGTGCGTGGAAAAGTTGTAAGTAAACATTTAAAATACTGAAGCTTGAATTATCCCAGTAAACACAGTTACGTTTTAGCGATGTTAATGCCACTTAACTCTGTCTACGATCTTGTTAGCTGTTACATCCCAAACTGCGTACATTTGCTTTCCCTGTGCTATGTAATGTAATCAACAGTGACCCATGCTTGTAACATACTGGTGACATCCACATCGTTTCAGACTAGAGACGTGCTCGCGGTACATCATCATAACGTTGTGTTAGTATGTCGCTAGATTCTCTATATTTTTATGTATCTGTTACGTTTTATTTTAAACGCCAATATAACATATTAAATGGACATAGACGTTACGTATATATCGCAACATCGTAAACATATGACTCTCAGTATATTTTATTAACATGATCTATGCGATATGAATAGGCATTTCAGAAAGTCTAGTTACCATTTAGGGATATGGATATGGAGAGTAAAATTTAGAGCTTACAGTAAATTATTATTTTATTCAATGTTTGAAAAAATATAATATGTAATAAGTAATAAAATACAAAAATTAATATAAATTCATAATATAAATAAATATATATATATATATATATATATATGATTTCCTAATTCGAAAATAATACAATATAATTTACACTTAAAAAAAGACACAGAAACTATAAACTGTCGTTGTTTTTTCTTTCTTCAGGCGTTGACTAGAATGTCGTAGCCACTCTGAGCAGCGTTGTTCTACTTCTTTTTCTATTGCGGAATGGGTCTTCATTGTAATTTCTTCAAAAATAAAAATTGTAATAATTATATTTATTGCAAAAAAAATACCTTTCATAATATTCATTGTTTTTGTCCCAACCATTTTGGAATTTTCCTACCGAACAAACAAGCTACAGCAAATTCGCTGAATTTTTTTTTTTTTAATATACGCTCCACATTGTTCTTTTTCCCATTACCACCTATCTGGGACAATAGCAGTTCCTGAAATAAGAAAAGAAGAAAATATTTTTATGTGTATATATCGAGTAACTCTGAAATATTTAAGTTCGGAAAATAAAACCACAAGATCACGAAGTAGAGAAAATTTTAAGTAATTTCTTTTATCTAGTCCTAATTCAGGGGAAAAATATCAAGATCCACACCTCATTCAGTGTCATTTGTTTTCATCTAAGCAACACACAGCAAAAATAAAGAAAAAATTTAGTCACAATGGAAACTGAATAAATCATTGCCGCATCATTTACATTTAACAAGTTGTTCCGTATTTGTTTCTTGAAACTGGAGCAGCAATTTAATTACTTTGAATCCGTGTGACAATTAAAGGATTTTTTTTTCCGAATCTATTTGGAAGTCACCGCGTATGTATAACATACAGGGTGCTTCACTATAAGACTTTTCTGCAACCCAATATGTATGTAACGTGTTAAGCGAAATGTGTCATGTTTAGTAGGTTCCTAAAAAGTGTTATAGTATTACAGGCATCTACCTGTATATAATATCCAAAATTATGTTATATGTAAGTACATATAAATATATTTAGTCCAGTCATTTTAGCATAAAAAAGGGATCAACCTCAGAATGAGAGACAATAAGCTGAATTTTTGTATACGCCTTAATTTTGGCGTTCTAAAAGTTGTCTCAAAAGTCTAATAAAATCTCGTGTCTGCGTCGTAAGTTATT